GGCAATGTGATACCTTCAGCTTTGTTCTTTTTGCTTAGGATTGCTTTGTGTATTTAGGCTCCTTTCTGATTCCAAATGATTCTAGATCTGTGAAATATGCTTTTGGTATTTTGATAGGGATTATATTCAATATGTAAATCAGTTTGGGTAGTTTGGGCATTTTAACAATGTTGATTTTACCAATCCATGAGCATAATATGTCTCTCCATTTGTTTGTGCCATCCACAATTTCTTTCCTCAGTATTTCGTAGTTCTCCTTGTAGATCTTTCATCTCCTTGGTTAAGTATATTCCTAGGTATTTTATTTTCTTTGCAGCTATTATGTATGGTATTGAGTCTTTGAGTTGAATCTCAGCTTGACTATTATTGGTATATAGAAATACTGCCGATTAGTGTACATTGATTTTATATCCTGAGGCTTTGCTGAATTTATTTTTCAATTCCAAGAGTCTCATAGTGGAGAATTTGCAGTTTTCTAGATACGTGATCATATCGTCAACAAAAAACGATAGTTTGACCTCCTGTTTCCTGACTTAGATACCCTTTATTTCTTTCTCTTGCCTGATTGCTCTGGCTAGGACTTACAGCACTATGTTCAATAGAAGTGGTAACAGTGGGCACCCTTGTCTTGTTCTATTTCTTAGTGGGAATGCTTTCAACTTTTCTCCATTCAGCATGATGTTGGTTATGGATTTGTCATATATAACTTTTATAATTTGGAGATATCTATTTTTTTCTTTTTCTTTTTTGTATCTGTACCTGCATTTGGTGTAAAGGTTTCATACTTATAATGAAAAGACTCCTGCTTTCTTACGTGTGTTTTAGTACAAACTGTACCCACTGTTTTCTTTGCCAAAGTTGTGCTATCCTGTAAATTGGGCAAAGTCTAGCTGCTTTCTCTGAGAGAATACATGCATTTGTATCTGTACCCACTTTGGGAGTAAAGGTTTCATACTTATAATGAAAAGAATCCTGCTTTCGTAAGTGTGTTTTAGTACAAACTGTACCCACTCCTTTCTTTGCCAAAGTTGTGCTATCCTGAGATATCTATTTTTTATGTATATTTTTGTTGAGGGTTTTTATCATGAAAGGGTGCTGGATTTTGTCAAATGCTTTTTCTGTGTCTATTGAGATGATCATATGGTCTTTGTTTTTACTTTTGTTTATGTGGTGAATCACATTTATTGATTTACATATGTTGAACCATTCTTGCATCCTTGGGATGAAGTAACTTGGTCATGGTGGATTACTTTTTTGATTCATTGTTGAATTTGATTTGCTAGTATTTTTTTGAGAACTTTTGCACCTATGTTTAGAAGTGATACTGTTCTGTAGTTTTCCTTTTTTGTTGTGTCCTTACATGGCTTTGGTATCAAGGTGATACTGGCTATGTAGAATGAGTGGGGAGGATTCCCTCCTTCCCAGTGTTATGGAATAATTTCTGCAGTGTGAATATCAGTTCTTCTTTGTAGGACTGGTAGAATTTGACTGTGAATCCATCTGATCCAGGGCTTTTTTGTGTTGGAAGACTTTTTATTACTACTTCAGTCTCACTGCTCATTATTGGTCTGTTCAGGAGGCCTGTTTCTTCCTGATTGAGTCTTGGAAAATTGTGTGTTTCCAGGGAATTTTTCCATTTCCTCTACATTTTCTAGTTTATGTGCATAGAGATTTCTGTAGTATTATGGGTTGATGTTTTTTATTTCTGTGCTATCAGTTGTGATATCTCCCTTTTCATTTCTGATTGAGCTTATTTAGGTCCTTTTTCGTCTATTCCTGATTAATGTAGCAAGAGGTCTGTCAATCTTGTTTATCTTTTCAACATATCCACTTTTTATTTCATTGACCTTTTTTCCCCCATTTTATTTAGTTCTGCTCTGACCTGTGTTATTTTCTCCTGCTGGGTTTAGGTTTGGTTTGCTCTTCCTTTTCTAGTTCCTTGAGATGTTATATTAGGTTGGTAATTTGTGATCTTTATGATTTTTGGATGTGTGCATTTAAGGCAGTGAATTTTCCCCTTAGGTTCCTTTTGCTGTTTTCCATTGATTTTGATAGCTTATGTCTCCTTTGTCCTTCAGTTCAAGGAATATTTTGATTTCCATCATAATTTTATTATTGAACCAATAATTATTCTGTAGCAGGTTGTTTGATTTCCATGACTTTGTGTAGAATTGAGTGTTACTCTTAGAATTGATTTCTAGTTTTACTCCACTGTGGTCTGAGAAGATACATGGTATGATTTTGAGTTTTTACAAAATCTGTTGAGACATGTTTTGTAGCCTAAGATATGATTAATCTTGGAGAGTGTCTCATGTGCTGATGAGAAGAATGTATATTCAGTAGTTGTTGGTAGGATGTTCTGTAAATATTTGTTAAGTCCTTTAGTTCTAGGGTCCCATTTAAGTCCAGTGTTTCTTCATTTATTTTATGTTTTGATGATCTGTCCAGCTCTGATAGTGGAGTGTTGAAGTCTCTGGCAATTAAAATACTATTGTTTATTTCCTTGCTTAGCTCTAGTAGAATTTATGTATCTGGCAGGTTCTATGTTAGGTGCACATATATTTGGGATTATTATGTTTTCTTGTTGAATTTCTCCCTTTACCATTATTAAATGACCGTCCTTCTCTTTCTTTACCATTGTTGATTTAAAGTCAATTTTGTCTGATATGAGAATGGCTACACCTGCTTTCTTTTAGCTTCCATTTCCATGGAATATTTTTTCCATCCTTTCACTTTGAGCCTGTTTGCATCCTTATGGTTTAGATGTGTCTCCTGGGAGCAGCACATACTTGGGTTGTGTTTTATCATCCACTCAGCCAGCCTGTGTCTTTTGAGTGTTGCATTTAAGCCCCCCTACTCTGGAATGTTGATGTGGCAGAGGAGGGACGTGTGCACTGGAAGCCTGTAATGCAGCTGTTCTGACTTGTTCTGTTTACCTGTGATTACCTGTGCTCAAGCCTGTGCTGAATGCTGTTTATGTTGGGTGTTAGGCTGTTCAACAGATAATTGTAGGATGTTTGAGTTGGGAGCTGGGTGAGACCCTCTTCCATGAGATTGGTGTTGTGGGGATTGCTCTACCCAGGGTCTCTCTGCAGAGGTGACAGTAGCAGCTGGATGAGGCTATCTAGGCAGTTGTTGTGGGTTCCTGGGCTGTGAGCATTTGCTCTATCCAGGTCACGGTGTACTAGTGGCTCAAGGCTGCGTGGTCCCTGGTGGGGTGTTGGACTTAGAGCAGTTCCTCCAGCCCTGCAGCAGTGGTAGAGGCTCTGGGCTGGGGGCCAGGTACAGTGCTGGAGTCTTGAGGATGGTGTCTTGGGCCTGGCAGGTGCTGTGGAGACACAGACACAGAGCCTCCAGCTCCTGTGTGAGAACCATAGAGCTGAGACTGGGGAGGAGCTGGAAGCAGAGCCCTGCGGGTGGCAGGGCTCATCTCACCTGGAGGGCAGGGTCAGGGCTGAGCATGCTGGAGGCAGTTGGGGCCTCGTGGGTGTAGTCACGGCTGAGCAAGTGGCATGCTGTTTCGCAGTGTTGGGGACCATGCGGATGTAAAGTCATGTGGCTGGAAGTAGGTTCCAGTGGCCCAGGGATCACAGAGTTCTTCCTGGCCCACCCAGAACCTGCCGAAGCAGTTGCCCAAAGTCTCCCAGGTCAGAGCCTGCTGCACCCTAGTCAGTTCTTATGCTTAGATCCCATCGCGCTGTAGGGGAGCGTTGTTTGGCTTCCAATCACAGGGTATAGCTCAGGGTAGCCTCCGGTTGGTCCACTCCATCCCCAACCCAGTGCAGAGCTGGCGCCATGCACCTGAGAGCTCAGAATGGCTTTAGCTGCTGCCCAATCCCTACTGCCTCTGTTGTCTGGTGCAATGACTCTGCACAGACTCCAGGTAGTTCCCCGGTCCAACAAGGTAGAGTTCTGTGGCAGTGGAGGCAGCCGTCTCACAACTTGGATGGTGCCAGCAGGGTGAGCATGCCACCCCAGCACTCTATCCTCCTATTCTTCCC